GTGCAGGGTGGGGACCAAAGGGAGACAAACTACCCCAAAGGAGCACAATGTGTCCCTCACCATAGGTACTACCTCTCCCCTAACACCCCATACACCTTACATTACATTGTAATGTAATGTAAGCAGATATATGTTGTTGCTGTGTTTATCACTGAAGTTGTACATAGACAATTATCCATAAACTTGGCAACAATTTTTATTAAGCTGGTTAATTTCAGCAAAAGATGACTCAAATGTCTAAGCCCTGCTGAATAGTTCTCTGATCAGCACTGGACTGCTTTCATTTCACAGGAGCTAGAACACCAGAGAGGAGCACTTATGAGTGAAATCCAAGCTGCCAAGAACTCTTGGTTTAGCAAAACCCTGAACTCTATCAAAACAGCTACTGGCACACAGCCACTACAGCAGGCTCAGCTGTCGTCGTCACCCAAAGAGGGCAGCACATAGTTCCAGCTGGATTCCAAGCACCAAGAGCACAATGGACAAAGCAGCTTGAAACCCCTTGGATATTCACCCAATAGCACCTGTTCAAAGGGGGAAGCAGGAGACAGGCAGGAGAGCCAGCCTGCAAACCAATTCCTTCAGTGTCTTTTATTTGTTCTGATGTGGCCCTTTCCGAAGGGAAGTTATTTAAAGAATCCTGTTATATGTGGAATACTCGTTCCCAGCTGCCTTGCCACATCCTGGTACCTTCATATTTTACATGTTATTTTGTATGCCTAGAAGTTCAAGTATGGGGAGCAAATAATTCAGAACTATGTGTTCCATATGTTGCTAAAAAATATTCATAATTATTTATAAGACAGTTTTCCCCCACTTTGGGAGAAGAGCGAGAGGGCAGGGTAAAATAATGAAGAAAAAGCACATTTATTATAATGCCAGAGCATTTCCTGGTAGATCAGTTCAAAGGTTTACAGCTCTTGTTGCACCCTGCCAAGATGCACCTGTTGTTTAAGGCCTGAGTCTCAGGCCACATCTATAACAAGTGGAACAACAGTAATTAAAAAAAAAAAAAATCTTGTAAAGCTACTAAACGAGAACATGCATAAAACCACATCTACTTTAATGCTGCCTTTAAGCATTCCGTAACTTATGCCGTATATTGCAAATAAGGGAAATAGCTCTTTCCCACACCTCTGTTCTCTTTTGCCAATCAGCAGACTTGGGGCACATCTCACAAAAGCTCTTTGGAGCACTCACCTTCAAAGTGAATCGAAGCTAGCAGAGGTGAACTTCCTAGTGGATTGCACCCTTTGCTCTTTTGCACAGGGCTTGTGTAGAAGACATTCTTGGTCCTGGTAAAATGTGTCCAAAATGCTTTGATGGAAGGTGACCTTCACCTTTGACTGGCAGAACAAATTTTTCAGAAGATTCCTGTGTCTGTCTGGAAATCATACTTGTTTTATATCTTTCTAAAGTGCAAAAAAAAACATTTGTTACATTTTTGAATTTAACATAAAATGTTTATAGAAATGCTTATTTCATGGAGAATTATACTATTGCTTAAATTGATGGAAATATTTTTTTTATTATGTGTAATGTGTATAATAATGTCTCACAGGCCAACATCACTACTGGATAAGAAGTTGGTTATGTACTTGGTTTCCATGTTATGAAAAGTGTTCCTGGGACATTGTTCTGTGCTGATTTTAATCCAAATTAACGCAATAGCCTATCAGTCAGTTCTCTACAATAAAGTTTAATGATGCTCACTTTGTGTTTCATTGTTGGGCATATTTGCCATTGTTGTTGTTTAGTCGTGTCCGACTCTTCGTGACCCCCTGGACCAGAGCATGCCAGGCACTCCTGTCTTCCACTGCCTCCCGCAGTTTGGTCAGACTCATACTGGTAGCTTCGAGAACACTGTCCAACCATCTCGTCCTCTGTCGTCCCCTTCTCCTTGTGCCCTCCATCTTTCCCAACATCAGGGTCTTTTCCAGGGAGTCTTCTCTTCTCATGAGGTGGCCAAAGTCTTGGAGCCTCAGCTTCATGATCTGTCCTTCCAGTGAGCACTCAGGGCTGATTTCCTTCAGAATGGAGAGGTTTGATCTTCTTGCAGTCCATGGGACTCTCAAGAGTCTCCTCCAGCACCATAATTCAAAAGCATCAATTCTTCGGCGATCAGCCTTCTTTATGGTCCAGCTCTCACTTCCATACATCACTACTGGGAAAACCATAGCTTTAACTATACGGACCTTTGTGGGCAAGGTGATGTCTCTACTTTTAAAGATGCTGTCTAGGTTTGTCATTGCTTTGCCATTAGGAGTTTTCATTAGGAGTATTTGCCATTAGGAATTTTCAACACTATAATGCAAAGTTTGACTTGCTCATGAGAACTGAGGGCCAAACCAAACATATTAATACTGTGGTTAGCAACCACATCTGGTTGTGTTGTTGTTTTTTATGAATAGTATGTACTTTGGGAGGTTATATACAAGTGAATATTATTTATTTGTGAAGTTTAAGTGGTTACAAAAAAAGATACCTAAGACAAAATAAAAATACATAACACAGTTAAAATAATTATTAAAACCAGGCATTCTGTCAAATAAGTTTGCTTCCCTGAATAACTTGTATTATTTTAAGAGCAAGAGGAATTAAAAACAAGATGACAGAATAATAATCAGTAGCATAAGATATATTCCAGAATGAAATATAAGGTTCATATTTATGCAAAGCATATCAAATAATCATTAATGCCAAATAAACTCAAATTTAGTAGAAACAGTCCCAAGCAGAAGAAATTGAGGAGTCTGCATGACCTCTGGCAGCAAGGATTTTATGAGTCAGTTTTTCAGAAATGGCAATAAGCATGACTTTTAAATCCACAAATCCAGAGAGTAACAGGATGTTTCCTTCCATCCTTGAGAGATCACTAAATGAGCAGTAACCAACAGATACAGAGAAGTAGGGTCAGCGATGACACCATCAGAAATGGATGAAAAACACAACTTTGCATCCAAGGTGACCTGTTTGCCAACAATAATGCCAATATAGAACCAGCTTCCAGAACTTGTGTACATAGTTACAGCGCTACCACATATGCCAATATGTTCTTTGTACCTTAAAACCCTGACACCGTAAGAAGCAGCTGGCTCTTACAATATGAGCTAGCTGAACCTGTGTTAAAAACCAGTGGACTTGGAGGAGGAGTGGACCAGATCTTGTGCCATTGAGAATCTTTTCATTTGCCTGTAGGGTCCATCTCCCAAACCAATTAAGACTGTAACAGCAGGGAATATATAACAGACACTGCCTTTCTGAATCCTTGCGACAGCTAATCATAAGGTTTTAGGGATCCCCACAAACTTTTCTCCTTATAACTGCTGCTCTGAGTTTCCTTTATTCAAACCTCTGCTGCTGTTCAGTTTGCCTTCTCTTATGCTCTCCTCCCCAGCCCATGCAAATCAAGAATTGTGATGAGATGCTTCAAATCCTCTAATGGGGGCTGAGCGATGACAGCCTTACATTTGTATGTGAGGGAAGATTTGGGAAGAAATGCAGGTGGGAGTGAAATCAATCCTTTCTTGGTTGGCATTTCTGTAGTAAAATTCCCCCTGCCCACTTTCTCACCTATGGGGGAGAAATAAGACTCCAGAAGGCTGAAATGGAAAGGAAGCTGTGAATTATTTTTTTTCCAATCCACTGTGGAAGAGTTAATTCTCCCCACCATTACAGTTCAGTTTTGCAGCCCCAGAGCCTGCATTTCCTTTACTAAACATATATTTAAAACTGGGAGTCTGATTATGTACAAAATTATGCCTTACATTACATAGAAGTATTTGCCAACCAGAACAGGAAGAGTTTCAGTGGATGTTTTAGTACAAAACCTTTGGAGAGCACCAGATTGGCAAAGGCTGGTATACTGGATATTGCTAAATATATAATAATGGTGGACTCTATTGCCCAAACAGCACTCCTTCAGTTTCAACCTCTGTCAATCTAAGTCGTGTGGGTGGCAGTGATGGCCACCAACTTGGATGGCTTTAAAAGATGATTGGCCAAATTTATGGAGGAGAATTAGGCTATTGATGGCTAGTAGCCATTTTGGCTATGCTCTGCCTCCACAGCTGGAGAGAGCAATGCTTCTCAACGTGTTGCTGAAAGTCACAGGAGGGGAGAACGTGCTCTTGTGCTCAGATCTTGCTTGCGGACTTCCCACTGGGGCATCTGAACCGCCACAGGATGCTGGGCTCAATGCAATTACAGATTTCTCATCTGCAGCTGCTGATCCAGCCTGGCTCTCCTTATATTCTTACGCTTCCTCAGCCACCACTGCTCCTTCTCGTCCTCTGAAATATGGAGGTACAACGGACTCTATTTGCAACTGTGGGGGACTTAGTATTTAAAGTAGGGCGGTGGGGTGGGAAAAACATTTTTGAAGGACCTGAAGTGGTTAAGAGCGTTTCCACTAGGGCCTGGTAGAGACCACGGTTCCAATCCTCCCTCTCTGCCCACGAGCTTCACTGGGAGTGGCCCTGGGTCACAGTCACTGCCTCAGGCTGATCTTCCAACGGAGGAGTTGTGGAGATTCCTACATCGCAGGGAGTTGGACTAGATGACTCTTGAGGGGCCCATTCCAACTCTACAATTCTATTATCCTATGGAGGAGGAAGGCGGGAGAGCCACGCAGGCCACCTTGCGGTCCTTGGAGCAAGCGGTGGGAATAGAAGTGCAATATCTATCTATCTATCTATCTATCTATCTATCTATCTATAATAAATGAATATATAAATTCTATATGACTAAAATTCAACAGGCAGCCTTCGCTTTCGCCCTCGCAGAAAAAACCACAGCACGGCTTCTCCGAGACTGAACCCGGAAACTGCGCATCCAGAAAAACGAGACGCGCCTCTTCCGTTTCCATCTCCCCCTCCCAGAGTTCTCCCTCTTCCGCTTCCTGTATGGGCGCGTTGCGACTATTGGCTGAGCTGGGCGCGGAGCAGTGACGATTAGGGTCAGAAAGCTCGGGGGCGGGGCGAGGAGAGCAGCGCGGCCGGCGCGGTTCTGATTGGGCGAGCCGTGCGTCGCCGCTTCGGCGTCTCCTCCGGGGCGGGGGCGGCGCATGCGCGTGCGCGAGTCGGCTTGGTGGCGCCCCTGGTCCAGCCATGGAGGAGGTGAGGCGGAGGCGCGCGGGCGGGGGAGGAAGGGCCGTTGGGCGCCTGGAGGGGACCGGCGGGGGCCGCTCAGGGGCGGAGAGGGAGGAAGAAGGGGGCTCCTGCTCATGTGCAGAGCGCGGGAGAAAGGACCCCTTTGGGAATGGGACAAAAGAGGCGGGTGGGAGGGAGAGGAACGAGATGAAATAAAACAGGACGAAGCGAGGCCAAACAGGCCGGGCGACGACGCCGATGCCTTCCCCAAGCACAGAAGGGGAATTATGTTCCATTGGGGAAAGGCAGGGCTGGGAGAGACCGGGGTGCTAGAAACTCAGATAGATAAGCTAGGCACCCAAAGGCCCCTTAAACCGGAGTCACCATCACCACAACGGAATGTGTATTTGCCAGGGGGTTGGACATGATGACCCTCGGGGTCCCTTCCAGTTCTATGATTCTGTTATCTCAACTACATTGCTTGATTGTATTTTTTTATTATTATTATTATATTTATTAAAATGTTTAGACAACAAAGAAAAAAAGAAAAACATACACAATACATATAACAAAAACACACACACACACACACACACACAAAAAAAGCAAAATTCAACAATAAAAGAACAAAAAACATAACAATTAAAAACAATATCTCTTTTCCATTTCCGTTTTTTAGTTACTTATTTTCTGGACTTCCTCATACCGCCCTCTTTTGTATTCCAATCCAAATTGTTTGTCCAGCAATTTCTTTTCCACTTTTTTAATCCCAATCTTTAGCTTTAATAAAATATTGGAATATATAACTTCAACTTCTTTAAACCTAATCTTTAGTCTTTATATCATATAACATTAAGATTTTTCCTCTTAATATCCAGTTTCCGGAAACTACATTGCTTAATTGTAGTTTGCTCTTACAATGATTCACTTGTCCCAGTACGCAAGAACTGTGGTCTGTGAGCTCCATTTGGGAGGCCTGTGGAAAGGTTGCTGCAGTGTCAAGTATATCTGTACTCAGCCCTGCACTTACTTTCCTTGATGGGATGATGGAGGACTAAGATGTCCATGATTCTCGCAGCAGTGCAGACGGACGAGACAAAATCTTTAAAGCTAAATCTAAAGCTGCCTGGTTTATTCAGTGGTGGCTATCTAGTCTTTTATATATTGTATGTGTTTGGATTATCAATGCATTTGGATGATTTTACGATTTTATTGTTTAAACTTATGCCAATAAAGGCTAATAACAATAACAACGTACATCTTTTGCCGCACACAAGTCAACTGGCTTGATGGAAATGTCAGTCGCCAACCTGGTGCCCAGACATCTCCATGTACAGTCGTACCTTGGTTCCCGAACACCTTGGTACACATACGTTTTGGCTCCCGAATGCCAAAAACCTGGAAGTAAGTGTTTGGGCTTTCGAACGTTTTTTGGAAGCCAAACGTCCGGTGCTGCTTCTGCTTGAGTGCAGGAAGGTCCTGCAGCCAATCAGAAGCCACACCTTGGTTTTAGGAAGTTGCACAGATTATGATCAAGAACCAAGGTATGACTCTATTTATAACTGGACCCACACCAGTAGCAAAATGTGTCTGGCGCCTAGGGAATTTCGAACACTGGGACCTTGGGCTGCTCACTGGCTCTCACCCACACCCGCCTCACAGGGTTGTTGTTTTGAGGGTGAAGTGGGAGGAGAACTATGTTCGCCTTCTTGAGCTCCTTGCATGGTTGGGGGGGAGGAAAGAAGGTGGGATATACATGTAATTAATAAATAATTTTCCACCCTTTAAGATGCTGCTTTTTCATTTATTTCTTTTGACTGAGATATATATAGCTCAGAAACGTTCGAACAGGCTTGGGAGGGCTCTACGTGACTTGACAAACAGCTAGCAATAAAACTGGGCTGTCTCTGGTTGAATCTTGCCTTAGCCGTGCGTGATGCCCTGGACTTCTTAGGGCTCGCTGCAGTTACTGTGGAATGGTGACCTATGTAATCACTGAAGTTGTCCTTCAAGCCGAGAAATAAATTTGGGGCAAGTAAACAACAATTGATGACCTCCTTCTACCGGTCCACAATAGAAATTGTCCTCTCATGTTGTATCACAGTGTGGTACATTGGCTTGACAGCCACGGACAGAAAGTCTTTACAGAGGGTGGTGAATACAGCACATGATATCATGGGCTTCTTTGTACGATATTTAGTGATACTTTAGTTGGCCTGATTAAGTTATTTCCTTAATGTGCTTTTTGTGGTTTTAACTGTTTGTTGTTCTGCACTTCGTGCTTTGATTGCACTGTATGGATTGTTTTAATTCTTTATCAGCACTTGCTTTCAAGGCAGCTTACAGATTTGTGTGCTCTGTGTGTTTCATCCAGCTACATAAAGATTTAGATGAGGTGAAAGAGCTTTTGAAAAAAGCATCAAGAAAGAGGGTTCATGATGTGTTGCTGTCAGAAAAGAATAAGATAGAAAAAGAAATCAAGAACCAGTTACCAAGCAAAATAAAAGCAGAAACATCTGAAGAAGAAAGACCACCTCCAACAGGATACACAGTGAAAATCAACAATTATGGTAGGTCTGATCCACCCATAACTTTTGAATTAATACAAGAGATTCAAGAGAATATCAACATCTTGTAAACTGCTTAGTAAACTGCTTAGCATCACAGCCAGTGTATATAATTTTTTAATCCATGAATCATAGGTTGGATTATATATGGAAAAGTAGGTTATTGTGCAGAGATTGATATACTTTTTATGTCATGAACAAGGGATTTTTTGTGATCCCACATGAGCACATGAAAACCATAATAACTGTTACTTGATGCATACCGTATTTTCCGGCGTATAAGACGACTGGGCATATAAGACGACTCCCAACTTTTCAAGTTAAAATATAGAGTTTGGGATATACTCGCCATATAAGATTATCCCTCTTCCAACGCCTGCAGCCAACTAGAGGCAGCCAGTCTTTTCATCCCTGTATGCACACCGCAGCTGGGGCGCTGGGGGCCTCGCAGGAGGATCAGGGGGAGGGGCGGATGGAGGGGAGGACTTCAAAGCCCTGCTTGCCTCACCCCTCCTCCATCCTCGGCGGCAGCCGGAACATACGGTATATATCTCTCTCTCGGTATAATAGTCAATGTTTCCTCCTCATGATCCGTCTCCTTCCATCGCTCTCCGTATGAGGGCGGGAAAGGAGGAGGAGAAGCTGCCGTCCCTCTCTTCCCTCACGGACCCACCTGCCTTGCCTCACGGAGCCCCAACGGCCACCCAAGCAGCTGCTTACCTGCCCCGCGCACGCACGAGAGAGACCCACGTGCCCCCGTCCGCAGTTCCCCCCCTTCTAGCTCCCCCTCCCCTCCGCCCTTTCGTAAGAGGGAAGAGAAACAGTGCAGGGCTCGTAAGCGCAGTTCACACAGGTGCCCCCCCCTCACACCAGCTGCCTGAAAACGTGCTCTCTCTCTCTCTCTTGCCTGAGCTTGGCAGTGTCCATCCATGGGGGGGGGCAGTGAGAGAGAGCGGAGACACACACAAATGTAGAAAATGCGCATACACACTGCCCAAGGCAGGTGTTGCTTCAGTAGTCCATGTGGGTGAGCAGGGAGTTCGGCACTTGGGAGGCATAGCGAGCCGTGAGAAGGGATTTCCCTTCTCTCCCCCCCCCCTGCTTCTTTTGGGGACAATGTTTCGCTCCGGCTCCTCCTGCCTCTGCTTTGAAGGTGCTCTGAGGGACATCTGAGGAGCTGCCCCCCCGGTCCCATGTCTTGTGGGGGGAGCATGGGCAGCCGGTGGAGAGCTTCCCATTGGACTTTACTGCTGTGGAGGGCAAAACTCAGACGACCCCCACAACCATACCCAGTGTATAAGACGACCCCCGACTTCCTGGGTTAAAAAGTCGTCTTATACTTCGGAACATACGGTAATTGTTTCCTGGCAACTCGTTTACATTAAAAACAAACATGTTTCTAGCCCTTATGGTTGCCTTGCCAGAATTGTTTGCAGAGGTGTGGGCAGTGCCTGCTACAATCTTAGAAGATGAAGAAATTGCTCACTAAGATCATCACCTAGGGAGAGCAGTTTGGAATGAATGTAATAAATACAGCTTTCTTTTAATCCCTTTAGCTTGGGATCAGTCAGATAAGTTTTTGAAAATCTACATCACTTTAAGTGGAGTTCAGCATCTGCCAGCTGAGAATGTGAAGGTGCACTTCACAGAAAGGTGGGTGTTTCATTAAATGCCAGGAAGTACAGATTGTGTCTTGAATCATTTCTTGCTTTGTTTGTCCCTGGCTGATTGTTCCCATATTAAGATGTTTCAGAAGCTAGTGAAATAGTTCCCAAGTATTAAATTTCCTTCGCAAACTGATGTACAGTATATGAATATATTTTGAAAAGAAGATATAATTGATCCTTGAATAGGTCTTATGCATTGGTAAGAAGAAAGAAAAGTTCTTCTCTCCTCCCCTCATCACTCTCCAGACATCTTTCATATCTTTCCTTTGCATAATTTTTGCTAATCCTGTAATGTTATTACATCTTTCCTCTGGGATAGGATTTGATTTATCCAATTGTTTATCTAATACTATATTGAAATCTCCTGCCATAATCATATAGCCCATATATTCAAATCCTCCATTTCCTTAAACATTTTATGGAAAAATTCCACCAGATTTTCATTAGGAGCAGAAGTATTAATTATAGTGTATTCTTCCCTTGCCATTGTTCCCTGAATTATAACGTATTTTCCTTCAGGATCTTTCTTCATCTTTAATATACTAAACCCTCATCTCTTTGAAATTATAGTTGCTACCCCTCTTGATTTTGAAGTACCATATGCTTTCTCATAATTATTTATACATCTCAATTTGATGCCCTTTTTCTTTAGATTTCACCCCCAGCTCCTCGTTCCTCCTCTGAGTTCCATTTCCATTTTTTCTGCTTTTCTTACTTCCATCTCCACTTTGTTTCTCTTGTCTGCTTGCCATAATTGCTTCTGTTGATTGAGCTCTGGTTAATTGCTGGACACTTCAATCTGATGGGTGCTCCCCCCCCCAAATTTATTTTGCTGTTTTGCCTCACGGGACTTGTCTATTAGCATCTAGCCAACTCAGCTGCGTCACCGAATTGTTATTTACTGTGTCTTAAAGTCACACTAATTTCCTTCCAGTTTAATGCGAATATCTCTGGGCTTGACTTTTACCCGCTTCTGTTATCTTTGTAGTATTTATTGTTGTTTTTCCCTTTTGAGCTCTTTTGCTTCAGTTATGTCTTATATGTGATTCTAGATTTGTGATACTAGATTTTAGGTGCAGAGCAATTTATTTCCCCACCTTTCCATGTCAGCTTTCTCTGAATTTGATAGATCATGGCTGACCTTTATGATTAATCTCTTCTTCCTTCTAGATCATTTGATCTGTTGGTGAAGAATCTGAATAACAAGAACTACACTATGACATTCAACAATCTTCTGAAACCCATCTCTGTGGAAAGCAGCTCGTGGAAGGTAAACACTTCTTTTCAAGTACATGCTAACGTTGTAGATTCCTACGATTTCCACAGTTTAGGGCTGCTTCCTGTGTTACTACCTGCTGCAGATTAAGTCATTAGGCACTTGCTAGGGGGTAAGCCATCAGTTCTGTAGCTTGTGATTTCACGATGGATAGATACCCTTTCTTGATAGGCTTCCTGCCCATATATTTATGTTCTGTTTTCAATATTACTGGGCAATAGAGGACAGTCAGCCGCATAACTCAGAGGCCCACTTGTCCCTGAGGTCACAAATCTGGGCTGTACCACTTGACATAACAAGAGAGTCTTTCACAAAGAAACCAGTCTGTTGGGAAGAATGAACAGTATCCAAAGAAGAGCTTCCATTAGCACAATGGTTTCCCCCCTCCCTAAATCTGCTCTGGAGAGCTGTGGGAGAGGGAGTGGAGTTACGCTGCACAGCCCCAAGTCCCTGCACTAGCAGAAGCACTTTGTTCGATGCTATCCAAGGGGCCTAGTCTCATTCATGTTATATATGTGGTTTCTTAGGCTTTAGCAGGCAGTATTGAACTTGATACAGTGTTCTCGAAGCTACGAACATGAGTTTGACCAAACTGCAGGAGGCAGTGGAAGACAGGAGTGCCTGGCATGCTCTGGTCCAGGGGGTCATGAAGAGTCGGACACGACTAAACAACTAAACAACAACAACAATTGAACTTGATAAGGATAGATTCTTTCTCTTGGGTGCAGCTGAAAGAAATTTTTGCTGCACCCAAGAGAATGCACATACTGTATCTTGCAACCTACAAATTACAATCATGTGACCTGTCTAGTAGAGAAACAACATTTGTATATAAGAGAGCATTTATTCTGAGATTTGTGTAAAGAATTAACGCAAAAAAATGTTCAGATTGGTGAAAACAATTACCTTGTCTTAAATTACTGACAACGAACATACTGCTAACACGAGCCCCATTCTGAATGTTTCACAACAAATTCAGTGGGTGGCTTTGGCTGGCAAAAGTGTTGCACAGGATTAGTCTATTTTATACTTTACATGTGAGCGAAAATTGTTCATACAACACCATCTCTCCTGTTCATTTTGCCCCTTTTTTGTTGTTGCTGCCCGTTGTCCATATTCTATATTTTAACTCACATAATTGAATTGTCATTCTTTAAATACTATTAAAAATAAAGTTATTGATACTTGGCCTGTTCGGTAATTCTGCCACCTAGTTTCACTTTTCTTATTTTTGCAGATCAAAACAGATATGATATTGATATTATGTAGGAAAAAGCAAGAGGAAAAATGGGAGTGCCTAACACAAGTTGAAAAAGAGACTAAGGAGAAGGAGTAAGTGCACCTCTGTTTCTTCTTCTGTTGCAATGCGTTTGGTAGAAAAAAAGGACTTGCAGATTAGGCTTGTTAACCCAAAGTGGTGTTGATCCATTCAAAATATTTGTCAGTTGAGCTGGTGTTAGATGCTGAGAGTTACTGTCGTGGTGTTGCCAGTTGTGGCAATCAAAAGACTTTGAGGCAAAAGTCTAATCCAGGTTCCATTATTAGTGGCTCAAATTGTGCCACTTCAATAATCTTGTCTGCTGAGTATTCCTGATAGGCATCTCTTTAAGTCTGCTCTGCCAGATCATCTTATTTAGAACTTGTTCATTTTCATAATAGAATTCAATTCCATGTCTTAAATTTTTTTTTTTTTTTTAAAGCCAGTCAGCGCCCTCAGGTTTCAAACTGCTGCCTGTGGGCGATTGCAGGATCCAAGCTATGCGTTTTTCGATGGAACCGCTGGGCTAAGATGGCTCAATTCCATGTCTTTCTAAACTGCAACACAATGAGCTTTTAATCTTTGCTTGTAACATTTATTGCAGAAACCGTTTTTTCCTACTGGTGGTTCTTGCTACTCATACCTGAAATAGGCCACAGTATTTTTAATGAAATCTTCCCTGTGTCCTTACAAGAACACGAATACTTAATATTCCACTAAATATATGCAAAACCTGGTTGCTTGTTTTGCTGCACAAAAGGGCCATGTCACTTTCTGGAATTAATACTACATTGAATGCCAGATGTTCAGGAACTAATTTGTCCTGTAGCAAAGCCCAAGGTTCTCAATATACAAAACAAGCTTCCTGGGGATATATGGATAGTTTACCAGAGTGGCTGCAGGTGTGGTGTAATGCAGAAGGAATAGTAAGTGCAAGTGACAGGTTTAATGTCTGTACGTTTTCATGTTCCCACCTCTTACTCCCTGAGAGGTCTGATCTATGTACTTTTAACATGTGTATTTTGATTATAAGGGAGGGCACAGATTCATATTTGGGAGTTGGGAGGCTTGTAAGCAGAAGTGGGGAGAAACAAGACAGTAATTGAAAGTTATCCAGGCTTCATCTCTCCCAGCCAGTTGCTTTTAGTCTAATCCTAACAATCCCTCTGTATATGTTCCACTGATTTTTAATAAAACTTTCAGGTAAACAGGTTTAGGATTGGAGCTCTCATTATTTTACTGTTTGCTTACTTGTACGTATTTAAATCTTAATGCATACCAAACTTTGTGTGTAACTGGTGATGTAATTATTTTCTGTATGCTTGTATGCTCTAGGAAAGCTGCTTATGACACCTCGGACCCGAGTGAAGGGTTGATGAATCTCCTGAAAAAGATGTATGCTGAAGGCGATGATGAAATGAAGAGGTCAATTAACAAAGCCTGGGTTGAGAGCCGAGAAAAGCAAGTCAAAGATGATTTACCAATAGATATTTGAACAAATACCCATCTTAAATGTACATCTTTTGTATGGGGCTTCTGCTGAGATCAGAGAAAGTGTGCTGTTTACATAATCTTCTGCGTAAAAACAAGTTTTACATTTCAGATTGGAGATGGGAAATAAAGCATGCAGAAAGGCTTTTCCTTCAAATGTGTTGCCCTTTTTCCATAAAGCTTTAAGTGCTTTTTGTGAAATTGATAAAAATAAGTAAGCTAGTTTGAGTGCAACTGTCTGTTGTCTGAAATCAACATCTACTTACTACCCACACCTGCCCAAGTTCTGTATAAGAAACTTTCACTTCTAACCATTGAGGAAATAGGTTTCAGGGCATGTATGCGTAATCTGTATGTACAGACAAGGGAAACAGAAAGCTTCATATACTTTTCTCAGAGATTGATGGTGCCCATTTCAAGAGCACTATTGAAACATGCAGATTAACTAGCATGTAATAGGACTGTTAAGTACATTGCTGGGAGGCTCCAGGGGGCAGGGTAATTGATGTTTCACTCTGGCTTCCTCCTCTGTGCTGATGAGGATTTGTGCCAATCTGTCCTTATGGAGATATTCAGTGAGGACAGCGATGGACTGAACAGGCTGTAATGTAATTATTGCAATAGTCAAAATAACAGGACCTTGAGGTCCTAGACCCACCAACAGGAATTGCAAAATATAGGATAACTATATTTACTTAAACCCTCATGATCCTAGCCATTGTTTTTGGACCATGCACTCCATCTAGCGGCAGTGAGAGCTGCACCGATCCATTTAGCAGTTTAGTCAGGAAGAAAATATATGTAGTAACTATGTAGTGTATCTGAATTCTGTGTCTATGTGATATTTTCAGATTTGCTAGCAATATACACCCTGCAACAATGTAATGTTATATATCAAACCTTAAACGCAAAGGACAAACAAAATCCAAGCGTGGGACTGTTTTATTTTTCCATGTCATTTTTAAATGTACAAGAGGAGCAAGTGTGGCAGGTTTGACAAAATTAAACAAGGTTGCCCCCTTCTAGCTAAGGGTCTTCTACCAATGGGTCTATCCCCCCCCCCCCACTCCTTACATGCTGCAAGTTATATAACGTGTCTTTAATTCATCCTAGGAGTTGAAATAGAACTCAGTTTTGTCTTTTTTGAAGAAAAGCCTTGTTGGTGGTGGCTCACCATATTGCTCTCTGTACTCCAGAGAGCTGTGCATGGTCAGCCAGATGGCGGAAGACAATTCGGCTTAACCTCCATCGCCACACTACAGCTCGTGCACGGGATGTCAGAACACATCGATTACGGATCCTCGCCGGGCAGGTGTCCCGGGGAAGGGCAGCAACCTCTTTTTCAGCCACTTCCTGGAACAAATAAAAACAGTGGTAATGCCCATCGGTAGTCCTGGAGCTACTACAGGCAGCACCCCATTTACACACCATCTATTGGCATTCAATCTGCCGAAACCTGGAAATGGGGAGACCATAGAGAGTCCTAGTGACTAGCGAGGAGACCCTTTGCAGAGCCTGAAGAGGACATCCTCTTTGGGCTGTGGGGAGGGTCTCCTTGCAAGCCACTAGGATTTTCTAAGGTGCTTCCCATTTAGGCACATTTCACTGACTCATACAGAGGTCCAGAATGTAACCCCTGTGTAAATTGGGAGACACATGTAGTATATATCATTCACAAGGACACTGTCTCTTAAAAGTTTAGCAACACAGGAAGGAAATGTGACAGCAACAACAGTTTTACAACCACTATGGTTGTGACAAATCAAAGCTTCAATTCCCCCAGGTAGGAATCTGCAAACTCACAGGCAAAAATAACATGTGTCTCGAATCTGTTCCACTACTGAACTCCTCTTACTGTCAGAAAGTTTTTCCAAATGTTTAGTCTGAATCTCCTTTCTTGTAACTTGAAGCCATTGCCTCGAGTTCTACCCTCCAGAGCAGGAGAAAATAAGCTTGCTCCAACTTCCATGTGACAGCCCTTAAGAAAATGGCTATCTCAGTCTCTTCTTTTCCAGGCTAAACATAACCAACTCCTTCAAGCGATCCTCGTATTTTCTTAATTTTTTTGCAAGGGAGAGTTGAGAAAAATGAGGAAATATGGAGGGGGAAAAGGGAGTGAAGATGAAATTGGGGGTGCAAGGGGGTTTGCGAAAAAAGAGGGAGTAGGAGGCGTGGGAATAGGGTGGAAGATGAAAGGGATGGTGGCTTCATACCTGGGCAGAAGATGAAAAGCGTGCATAGTTGCAATGTGTAGGTGGAGGTAGATTCAGGATGTTACTGTGTGGGAAGTTTGTGTGCAAGGCTGCTTGCACAAAAGGAGAGGGAAGAAGCATGGACATGGGGCGAAGGTAAAAACGAGAGCAAAGCAGGGTTGCAAAACTGAAGAGAGAAGCCGCTTCAGAAATGGGAAAGTGAAAAGCAATCTTAGGCGTATAGAAAACAAAAGAGCTTTCGTTATGCCTTTTAAATTTAAGAAAGAGTACAGTCTGGAACAGAATAACCAGTAAAAAACTGCCTGGAATTTTTAATTGAAGGACACAATGAGAAAGGTTTTAAATGCATAATAGATGCCACTTCCGGGAACCCACCACAATAAAGACACAATAACTTAAAACAAAATTACAGGATTCCAAACTGATCCTCAGTGTAATACTGTAACTGCACACAACTGGCTACCTTCTTCCATACTATTATTTGCTTAGTGGACTCTTAGGTCCTGGAAAGAATAGAAATTGGGTAAACCAATGACTAAAAAAGTATGTAAAAGCAATGGATGTACTGTGGGAAATGAATCAGGAGATGATTCTGTTCATAACCTGTTCATAACCTACAATGGTTATATCATACTGAAATAAAATATATTTCTGAATATGTGATGTAGATGGGGAGGGGATGCCTGGTTCATTGCTACAATCAAGAATATCTTAAAACAGTATTTTCATCTTACCTGGAGTTCTTTGGGCAAAATTTTGTTTTTCCTAAGGGAATTCAGCCGCAGCCTCTGATCTGCATATTCAAAAGCCATCTTCCTTCTCTTAACATCACGTACCATCCTCCAGTCAACATAATAACCCCTTACTTGTCCAACACATGGTATGCGGAAGATCTATTATTATAACAAAAATAAATCGGGGTCAAAGTGTGGTACATTTTGTGCAAGTAATCAGTTGCAAGCGTCCAGATATCCATCAGTGCATCTGTTCTTTTAAAAGATCTAATTATACTTTTATCTGATTTGCTGACAAACGTTTTTCCAGATTTAGCCTTGGGAGGGAAAGACCACGAAAGTGTGAGCCCACAAATAATTTACTAGCCTACCCACCTGGAGACGCAATTGTGTGTAATTTGTAGCACCCTGATGGGGTGACTCACGGGGAATAAATGCCTGGCTAGCAGAAGGCACTACAGTACAATATTTCCTACAGGCAACTAAGCAAAAGACTATTTACATTCCTGAGTTTATTCTGGGAGGGGGGAGAGACAGACTTTAGTGTGGGCTTCTGTTTGGGGCCCAATAACTCACGGGACGAAATCCCGGCTTTCTGTCCCCCAAGGCCAACCTCCACCAACCTGAAACACAGCAGCTGACACCTCCCCAAGCGAAATGAGACGCTCGTGTCCTTCACCCCGCACCCCCCCCCAGCACAGGCCTGGAAAGGACGGGGCTCATGGCGCCAAACTCTCTGTGCTTTCTAATTGTCGCCTTTTCCAGGTTCCCAATCTGTCAGCCGCCTCGAGCCCCTCTCGGGAGAAAGGCGGCGCACAAAACAACCCGTTTGCTAAACACCCGCCAGGCGCGGCTCCGTCTCTGAGGGGCTGAAACTTGACAACCCGCAGCCAAGGCCACCCCCCCGGCGCGGGGGAAAGGGCGGCCCCCCAGGAGGAAACACGCGCGACCGCGACCCTCACCTGACGAGACGCCGCCTGCAGCACCGCCGCCATCTTGCGCCCCGCCGGCCCCACAATGCTGCTCGCCAACGGCGGCGCGGAGGAAAGCTGCGCATGCGCTGCCAGCAGTTAGGCGGAGCTACTCAAGTATAAGGCACGGCGGTGTGGCTGAGAAGCGCGCGGCCCCGCCCCCTTTGCCCCCGCCATACTAGCCTCCAACGGCGTCGCGGCAGACTGCGCATGCGTCGCCAGTAGTTAGGCGGAGCTAACTGCGCCTAGTGGGACATAGAGATGCTGCAGGAGAGGTGCGCTCGCACTTGAAGGAGAGAATGCGGGAAGTTCAGCTAAAGCGGAGAAGGGAAGCTTGTTTGGGGGCGGGGAGGGAAAAAGCAAAGTGAGAATGATAGAAATTTATAGGCGAAAGATGTGATATAATAGAGGAACCTGTATTAGGTGAAATATGTGATATCATGCAGTACGTAAAAGGGATGCGTACAAAAACAGCATGGAAGGAAAGGCGGGGAGCCAAATCCCAGAGAAATGGATAACAAATTTGAAACTGGTGAAAGTAATGAAATATAATTTAAAAATTAATATAGAGAATAATAGAATTCAAGGGAACCCCAGGGGTCATCTAGTCCAATGCTGGAATCTCAACACACAGCTCCCCATCCAGTTTGAAGCAATACCAGACCCTGCTTAGCTTTGCAAATGTGTTAGCAGCTTATCACATTTTGGAACTATTATCTTGCAAAGTCAGCCAAATAAGAACACTTAAAAAAAACTCCCAGAATAGAAAACAGAAGACAGCAAGTGAATAATAAAAGGAAATGTGCCTTTTGTAGTGCACAAAAGCTTAATAATACACGTTTGTCAGCTGCACACTACAAGACTATTGTTTATGTTGCAGCAACAGGCTAGCAGGGCTACCTGTGGTGTGTGAAACCATTCCTGCCTGGGGCGCAATATTGCCTGCACTGATGGGCAGCAGCTGTCCGGGGCTTCAGGCAGGAAACATCTGCAGAGACAGCGGATATTCAAGCAGAGACCTTCTTCTGCACAGAAAGCAGATGCTCTACCAGTGAGCCATGAGCCTCATAACTGCCCAACCCCTTTATTTACGGGATCTTTGAACTTCACGAAATGAGTTTTTTGTAGGGAGAAGGCAGGTTGGAAATGAATTCAAATAAATTTAGCACAATACTGAGCCAAAAAGGGACCCCAGAGCAGCTAGCAGGTGTGCACAAATAAGACAGCAGCTGTGTACACACCATATGTTTAAAGAACATTTCTCTCTGCCCCTACCCAAAATCCTGGGAACTGTAGTTTGTTATGGGTGATAGGAATTGTAGCTCTGTGAGGGGTAAACTACAGTTTCCAGGATTATTTGGGGGAAGTCATGTGCTTGGAAAATGTGTATGCAGACAGTCTCTGCCCTCAGGCTTAGTCTAAAAAGGCAAAATACAAAAGGAATACAGTCCTGAATGGCTTGGGTTCTACATCATATCATGATCATTTTCTCTTCGTGTCATAGGCTTGCAATCTTCTGCTTGTTCTGATGCTCAGATGTGAGCCCATTTTCACAAAGCTGTTCGACCAGCGTAATACTGCTTGTGCTCAAGATTGTATTCAGGACATTTCCATGACTCAGCCTCTGGATGTGAATATTTCTGTTTACCCTCTCTTGTGTTCTCAAGTTATTATCTTTCATTTGTATTCAGATACACCTATCCAGTTACTAAAACCACACAAGCAGAATATTAAATGCAAAGGGCACCCAAATGTAGAAATGGCTACAACATTTACAACATATGTAGGAAAAGACCACAAGAACTTACTCTGCAAATTATTCTAAAACTTCACCCTGCAGTAAAAATTAATGTAAACCCTCCCCCCAATAAACCTTTCATCGCCTGTTGCAAAGATCCACCTTGACAGTGTTTCGACCTCAGTTTGACTGCTAACTGTGCCAAAACGTGGGGGTTATGCATGATATCAGAATGTTGTGTGAGTGTTCAGTCTAGGTCACCCAGTTGCTGCCCCCGTCAGGTAAGTTGCATAAATGCCAGTGTCTTGTAAGCAGTTGCGCAGGTATCTGACCCCCTGCCTCTGGCTGTGGTGGGCAGGGGGGAAAGAAAGGGCACATCCTCTCACCAGAATGGCTCTCATGGTCAGAACATTCCCCCAAAAGATGCTCCCATGGACACACATTGTTCGGTTATTAATAAGTCCATAGTGCTGGCCATGCCTCAGGCAACCAACACTGACAGTCCTACTCACAGATATCTGATGGAGAAACCTGTAGCATCAATTTGTGGCCACTCATTGGCTATGTCTCCATGACCTCTTTGCAGCCTCACCAAGTCTAGTGGCCACCAGCCACACCTGGAAATTTGGTAATGACCGATGCAAAGAGAACAGGCAGACAAGCAACTTTCCAAAATGTGTAGTGCTTTTGGAGTTCTCATACAGCAATCCCGCTTCCCTTCAAAATCATATTTTTGCAATAAGGAAAGTGATGGGAAAATACATTGGGAAAATGCAGTTTTTGAGAAATTTAAAAAGGGGTTCCTAGACTGGAGGTATCCCTTCCAGAAACCCAAAGGAAAAGGATGCAGCTCCAAGGAAAAGAAAGGCCTTTATTGAAATACAAAAGTGCATAGGGATAGCCTCAAAAATAAGGAGGCTGTAAAGAACCACATTCAAAACAATGTTGTTTATACATGCATCACTTCTATTTACTAATCAAAGGATCACAGCAATCTTAATAGTTGCAACCCAACCCTGAACCAATCATTTGATTCTTCAGATCAGCCCCCATCATAATATCATGTGATTACATATAACAATTTGCCAGCGTCTTTATTTAGTAAGACTTTAACTAATTTTCCTATTCATTAAATGTCTTACAATATCCTCTTTCAGCTGTCTACAAAACAATTCAAGATTAATCACAACTGCCATGCATACAATAGGGTTCGAAAAGTAAAATTCCGGACACAAAAGTTGTTCCCGGACATTTCAGCGATTTCCACCCAGACACTGTTTCCAACAGCCAAATCCTGGATATATCACAACCCTGACATACAATGGCCACCCTAGATTCTAACAGCTTATTCTTTTCAATGTTCTGGAAAGGACCTTATGTACAGTACCTAAAAGCAGCTAGTTTTGTTACTGTAAAAGCTAGACAGGCACAGGACATTGCAGTTTAGCTAGGCCATAAACTAAAGAAAGTGTAATAATCAAAATGATAGTCTTATGAAATTATTATTTTCTCCAACAGTGGGATGAAAATTGCTTAACATGGTGTCATCTAAAAACTCCCTGCAAACAGATCAGAATGAAGGCTCATTAAATGGCGGGTGTCACCTAACCGCCCTGCAGACTTTGTGCAAATGCTACAGGCTGAATACTCTGAATACTCAATGAACAGGTTATCTGGGAGCAACCCTTGGTTGCTAGTGGAAAAGTTCCATACTAAGCTTCCATACTATGCTTCCATACAAGGGCAGCACTTTGCTCCATCTTCACGACGTTTCTTTACCTGCTCATTTTTGCATTCATTATGATCTTTCACATGATGGAAAAGCCATTTCTGAAAATCTAGTGGAATCTGGTTTCTGTGTTGTTTCCATAAAAAAATCATATTGCATTCCCATTGGCTCAGATATTGTGGGAGTTTTGCACTGATGAAATTAGGGATAGTATACTGGCACAAGGAGAAGGGGATGACAGAGGACGAGATGGTTGGACAGTGTTCTCGAAGCTACAAACATGAGTCTGACCAAACTGCGGGAGGCAGTGGAAGACAGGAGTGCCTGCCGTGCTCTGGTCCATGGGGTCACGAAGAGTCGGACACGACTAAGTGGCTAAACAACAACAACATACTGGCATACAATTCTGGTAAGGTAAAGGGACCCCTGACCGTTAGGTCCAGTCGCGGACGACTCTGGGGTTGTGGCGCTTATCTCACTTTACTGGCGGAGGGAGCCGGCGTACAGCTTCCAGGTCATGGGGCCAGCATGACTAAGCTGCTTCTGGCGAACCATAGCAGCGCACAGAAATGTATATTGATCAAAAAGCCACAGTTCCATAACGCAACAAGATACTAGAGTGTAAAAAGAGCATTAGAAATTGGTGTAGAAGCACTAGCTTTATAAACCGCAGGTCTGAATGCAGCCTCAGTTTCCCCTGATAAATGTTTTCTATGTACAGAATTCATATCTGTCTATATATTTTGTCTGTAGCAGCACTCAACTCAATCTAAAGTGAAGCAGCCCAGAAACATGTTTGCCTCCTCGTCTGCTGTTTGTGAGAACTTGGCCTGGGCTGCTAATAAATTGAGCTCCCCTTTGCCAATGCATATCTGAAGGCAGTATCCAAAACAGCAAACTTACTTACCCACCCTCAAAGAAGTATGGGGAGGTTGGAAGATTTTGCAAGCAGTTCTGATTTTGCAGTAGATCTTCCCTTTTTCTGCTGTACCACAAATTGGCTGAATTTGTGTATGGGTTTGGCAGAGATGGTGCACAAATGTACACCAGCTCTGGCACAGTTCCATCATTACTGACAGTGATGATCTCAAGTCTCTGAGCCCCAGGCCTTAGGTAGTCAAAACAGCATGCAAGAGGGAAAGATAATCAGACTTGGGTTTGTGAACATGCACAAGGTTTGCAAGAGTACACAAATCTTTTTTTTTTTTTTTTGCAGGGGGAGGGACTTCAAGGGGACTTCCCCCAAAAGTAGCCCAACAAGAACTAAGCTGGGCATGGAGTGTTGTGGAGGGCGGTGGTGAGAAAACTGAGGTATGTGTATGTATGAAATTGAGGGCTTATCCACACTTGCTGTCAAGGCTGCCTCAAGTCTCAGCTCACAAAAGACCAACGCCTATGTCTTCTTATATGCAAATGTGTTTATTGCAGTTCATTGTTTGCTTGACATCCTAGGCGCGCAGCCTTACGTCTGCTATGCTTAGACCGCTGAAGTCCCCTCTGAATCCGTCCCTCCCCTGCACCGATTTAAGAGGCTAGTGCTGCTCCACCTCTTTCTCTCCTTCCTTTTCCGCAGGGTCCTTCTGCCCGCTGGGGTTTCGCCCCTCCTGGATTCCTCTGACGCGGAATCAGACTGCTCTTCCCCCCTCCTGCG